AGCGTGACCTCCAAAGAAGATCATATCGACCATCCGGCGGCAGCCGAGTCAAGGCAAGATGATGACGATGTTTTGCTTCTTTTCCAAGGAGTTTATGGATCACGGCACGAAGGGAAGTCAGATAGAACTAAAGAACTCTCCATGAGCATCCATACTTGCGCCTCTATCATATACTATAGCTTACTATTACCATTCTTTGACCGAATCTTGCTCACGGCCCCTGGTTTAGCCAGAAATGCACGGTTGGCCATTGAATTTCATTTGGATCAACAGCAATACATGGTGCCAGAGAAACAGCGGCTGCCGCAAGAGCAAGTACTCCTGACTAAGTCTCATAAGGCGATGTTGATAAATAACATCATAAACCACATGCGGACGGTGCTCACCAAAAGGCATCGCAGGAATGGTCGTATTAGAACAACAGCGTTGCACATCGCTCTACAACGAAGCAAATATTGTCAAGCGCTGGGATTGGCAGCTCGATTAATAAAGAGAAGAGATAAAACCAAAAGCATTTATCATTGTGTCGTGAAGAAGAGAAAGATATTGACTCATGCTCTATGCACGGCACTTACGCTATCTACAGCGACCCTGGAACATCTCGCCATTGCTACTAACGTGCAAGATCAGTGTCAAGAGTATTCTTGAAGTGAAAAATGATGCCGATTGATCTATCTAGCTCAAGCTGTTGTTCTAGCAAATCTCAAGGACAGTGACTGCGAGATCTTCTCTTCACTACTGTTTCCAATTTCGTACTGTGCCACTTTTTTGCCAAGTAGATTTTGGCAATATAAGATGTAAAGGGAGCTAACCATGTGACACGGGAGGTGTATTGTCATCAACTGCCATATCTAGAAAATTGGCATAGACATTAGCCTATGATATTGAGCCATTATCATTATAATTCAGAGAGCGTTCTATATACTTCATTAAGAAGAATAAGGAGGCGTTCTTCAAAGACATTCCATAAGCAGCACCATTAATAGTTAGATAAACTTAAGTGTACAAAGAATAAATTTACTTCAGACGAGATAGGGAAAACTAGATGTAGGCTTTTCACGCGACACTATGCCGGAACTCATACCTCCTTGCCGCTGATAATGGTGACCGCCTGAAATGTACTGCGCGTCTTTCCTAAAATGATCATACTGCTGGTTATTACAGTGTCCTCGTACTGGCTGGCCAGTGCGGCAGGCGACGAATCGCCATAGCATTTTTTGGACGCACCTATGTTTTCAACCCACCAACGCGCCTCTCCACAAATAGCCGCAGAGACAGGGTCATCAAAACTAGTGAACTTGGTCTTATCTATACACATATTGTGTCTTATTCAAATGTAAGGATGCGGGCTGTCGGAAGACTAGCTTTATGGATGCATTTAATCACGAAGGGTATAGTATGTATCAGCAAGAAGAATGATTGGCAACGTGTACTGTTTGATCAGCTTGCAAGGAAGTTGCAGCTATGTATCGAATTTCACTTGTAAAACTAACATAAACGAAAGATCTGGTAAGAAGGTAACCATATGTAACCCCATCCCTCGCAATCCTAGATATAAATGGAATGTGGCTAGTCACTATTTCCACGATATCAAAACACGAATTATTCTCCTCATTATCCATCGTTGCCTAGCACCTTTCTGCCTAAGAAAGGATCTTGTCTCCTCTATCTGGCCCATACCTGCTGATAGTGACCATGCCAAGGGGGAAGTAAGCGTATCATCGATGGAATTTACTTTGGCCCCATTTTCCACTAGAAGCATTACCGCATCCAATGCTCCGTATTCTGCAGCCCAGGAGAGGGGTGTTCGCTTATTCTGGTCACAATCATCTACAGGTGCTCCAGTTTGAAGTAGCAAGTGGAGAAGTTCGGTACAATTCCCCATGGCTGCATAGTGAAGAAGAGACCTCTCAAAGGGCCCCCTGAGATTTGACGCCCCCCCTTGTTGAAATGATGTGTGTGCTAGCTCAATAAAATTGAGAATATCACGGTTTAGACTTATTTCTCTAATTTTCTTAACACGTTGAAACTCAAGATCGACTTTGGGTCTCAAAGACATGGATAATTTCATCCTGGTCTAGAGAGAACGCGAGTAGATTTGAAAATCAAATATCACAAGCGGGCGAGATGGTGAATGTATACAGTCACCAGCTATGGCTGCTTTAAATGGCGATCTATCTTGGTTTCTATATACTCACAGGTGTATCTTGTCAGAAGCAAAGTATATGCCAGTAGTTTAAAGATGCCCTAGGCTATAGGAGAGTACAATGAGAACTATATCTGGCTGGGTGACATATTTCTCAGCCCCGGACGGCCCTTAGTTTCTCTCAAGATGTTCAGGTAGACATATCTTATTTCCAGCACCGTAATTATGACCATAAGTGAAGATAGGGGAAAACTTAAAATGCTTCTTCTCGTGCTCCAACAGTATTGTGTGAGGACTTTACATTTTTGAGTTAAACCCCAGGCACAAAGGTTATACTGTATACCCGCAGCCTCCCTCCCAAAATTATATTAATAGACCGGGCTAGTCTATGCATTATAGGATATTTTAGAGCCTGTTTACTAGTCAAAGGCTATATGAGCCGGGAAATGGATTGCAAAAGGAAAGGTGTTTGATGTCAAATCAACGATTCTTATATTATATTAACGATGTATCTTTAGCAATGAATCATGACGCTACAAGAGTTTAAGCGATGAGGGAAGAAATTGATGTTGACCCTAACTGCTACTTATTATGAAGAAAATTTCTGAGATTAGGACACTTTCCTGAAATTATACAGTAGTATATTACGCTCTTTTCAGATATTTCGCATTATCAATGCCTATCTCATATGGGAAGCTTGAGACGCTAGCGCCCAGGATATAGCCGCCAGGTTCACGTAAAGTCTAAGTTCAGGGCCAATCAAGGCTGACTATTTTTTTTCTCCACACCTCCATCTCCAGTATGACTGAGCCGAGGCAGCTGCCAACATTGGTTGAGGGGGTATAAAGAGTAAAGAGAGGTTTGTCCAGGCAGAAGGTAAGGCACCGTCACCCAGAAAGTGCGCTAACTGCCACTCTTCTTCGTTATATCGATTCATTTACGTGAACTCCTATTCACCCCTTCTTTTCTCCCGGTCCCTGCTTCACTACTTGAAATCAAACCAATCATAACACCTGTGAACTTCCTGTTCCGATTAGCTTTACCTCTTCCGGTATGGTCCCGATACGCCCTTCTGTAATCACCGCCCGCCTGGTCCTCCCAAGTCTATAAAGATCCTTCCCTCGCTGTTCTAATCACTTTCCTCCTAACTTCTTCTTCCTCCTCAATTCTACCCCCCATATTCTGCACTCACTCGGATGAGGGCTGGTCATCTGATACAACCATTTAGTCCCTCCTTCAAGCCCTCTTTCCCTCCCCTCTTTTCCAACTTGGAAAGCTGCGCCCTCTCGCGTCATCTCTACTTCCAGTTTCCTCTCCCTGCATCCAGCTTGACTTGACCGGCCGTGGAGCTGATTCTGTTTCCTCCGGTTTTATAATGCAGTAAATTTATTCATATTCTCTGTTTTCTGCTTTCCAACCCCCCTACTAGACAATGCGTTGACTTCAGAACTCGCTTAATGTTGAACGATCTATCTGCTATGGCATCTGCCCCTTCAACTCCCCTCTCCATGAAGACGCTGATTCCACCCCTGACAGGTTCCAAGGCTGATTACGGCTTACGGCTAACCCCACTCTCCTATCCTGTTCCGCGGTCGTCCGTCTTATATTGCATTTTGGCCAGCACCATGTAGGTCCCCTGTGCCGTTGTATGCAGCTTGATTGCCCAGATGGTGGCGGAACCACACCTGGAAAAAACAAACCGAATGGCATAAATGCCTCAACGGTGATCCCATGTGTTATTTTCACCGCCGTCACCGATCATAGCCCCGCGGAATGCGGCTCTCTGAGGTCTAGAACTGAAAGTCCCAGCCAACTAATAACCGATTGGAGGTCCATCCTCGACTTTCCGATCCGCTACGTCCTCATGAAACATGATAATGGAAAGAGAGCAATCAATAACAGAAGAGAAGGAATGACTAGTGTATCTACCACTGGGCTACAGTAATGATCCCTCAGTGCCACCGGTAGTCATGTTGATCTAGGCTATTCTGTAGCTTGTTTCAAAACCTACGACTTTCCTATAGGACAGAGAGCAAAGTGGTGGTAAAGGGCTCTGGGCTATATGCAATACCTCTAGGATCCTAGACACACCTGCTGCCAGCCGAATAAGGGTCGCTGGCGAAAGATTAGATTCAAGACATTAGAAGCGTCATTTCTCTTTGAGAAGCATGTTCAGTAGACATTGACTAACAGCTCTGCGTGCATCCCAACTGAGATGATCTAGACCGTCCGAGAGCTGCTGGACAAAGCCAATCTCCGGTGTCTCATGCCGGTGATTGACATCGCAAAAGTTATCAAAGAACAAGACGTATAAAACGTCCACCTCACCTTCCCAACGGTATCGATACTTTGCCAGCAACTCATTCAGCGCGGGCAACTGGTTTGTGAAGGAATAATCCACGCTGGGCACACCACCGTGTGCTGATATTAAGGAATAAACGGATTCCTGGAAGATGGTACTGAGGAACACTAAGCACTTTAATTGCCGGCTGAACTCTTCCGAAGGCTCCACTGGCATCTCAGAATCCTGCATCTGTTGGAAGGTGTTATACAATAAGATAGCTGCGTCATATACCGCCGGATATATCCGTAGGCTCTCTACCACCTTGGGTCGTTGTCGGTCGATCCTGAACTGTACTGTTGGATGAAGAGCGGTTGGCGTAAAGTATTCTGACAGCTGCCATATATGCGTAGATGGCTTGTATAACGGTGTTCTGGTAATAAAGAAGGCACTGGTAAATAGTTCCGTTATACTTGCATTAGTCTCCAAGAAAGCTTTTGCTGAAGGTCGTTGTGAAGGATACTACATTGGATGACTTACAAAAACACAACAAGTTCTATGCGCCAATCACCTTGCAATGCAAAAAGACCGCCTTTTTCATTGACCAGACGTTGGAGTCCACCTCGATGCACTTCCAACTGGCCTTCTTTTCCCCAGTATTTCTGCATACAGCCTCAATGGTCAACAGAATCATAAAGAAAACGATGCCTTACGCTTTGAACCATATAATAGATAGACATTGTCATACTCAGCCGGGGCACGTACCTCAAACATCAAGAGCTGTACTACGGAAGTGAGAGTCTCAATTTGCAGCGCTTGTTCGGGGTTATCGAGCCATTCTGTAATGGTACTGATGGCCTCGGTTTTGTATCTTAAGGCTACAGGGCAGTCGAGTTCCCCGTGGAGGTACGCCAAGTGAGCTGCTGCGTGCGCCATGATTGCATTCAAGGAGGCACTGTTTGACAGGTTCAACGGTAGCCAAACCTCCCAGATGGGATCGAAGGTCACACAGGGAAAGGCGTTCGACATCCCACTGGCGTGAGTACTCAACCCTGTGATATCAGTCACATTTTTCTACAGTATAATCGACGGTGCCAATAACCTAGAGTACGTACAGTAGTACAGCAACTTGCGGTGCTGCTTTGTCAAGGTCACCGGAAATGTATAGAAATGTTCGGAGTTGATAAATTCCAGAGGATGGAGGATTTCGGACAATATTTGAGCTGGGATACCCGACGACTCTAGTTTACTGTCTTTGCCAGAGTTTACTGGCTTTGCTTCCTGGTACTTTGTTTGGAGGGAGGACATTTGCCGCTGGAGTGCTTTAAGCTCCTCGAATTGGCTGGAAGCGTGGACAACGTCATTGGGTATTAGGGGGCGGGAGTATCGAGTATGGTCGGTAGAAGGTGCATCGCTTGAGTCTTCTTTAGCGATGGCTTGTTTCCGCCTCCAAAACTGTCGCATTGCATGACTGCGAATGCCAGGCTGGTCCTTGTCCAGTACAAACTCGAACTTGGTCCTCGTGTTATTTCTAGGCTGTTCTTTTCGATCTGGGCTTTTCTTCTGAGGTTTACTAAACACTATAAATGTAGTTTGTAGTGTTTGTCCTCTTCCATGAACCCATTCCTCCTCTGCTTCCCGCCTTTTTCCTTCCTCCACCCTGAGAAAGTTTTCCTTGTAGGCTGGCAAGCTGGTACTAGCCATCTCTGTGGAAGGTCATCAAACAATATTGGTTAAGTTACAGCCTTATTAAGCAAGCGTGCCAAGGGAATAACCTGTAAGCATATCGGCTAGTCAAAGAAGTCGGTTAAAACATTCTTCCATAAGAGCGAATGATGGCCCCTGGGATCGTCAAGAATTTGTCAAAAGAAATGAGATTGCAAATGAATAGAAGATAGCAAGGCAAGTTGTTTATACTAATAACCACGTATAGAAGCAATAGCACAGTTCCGAAGCTGAAAATCTTAAAAGACTTTTTGAGATGGAGTTACAGAGAAGGGTTGTGAGGATGTGGGGTGTGGTGTTCAGATGACGTAATTCCAGGGCGAGTTAGTCACCCCACGCGTTTGACTCGCTTCTGTTTTCTTATTCAACCACCACTCATACCACCAAAAATGCTTAGATCATCAAAATCTGCTGATTCGCTAAACTCCTATAAGTAGAATATAATTATCTGTCTCTGTATGCCTGCACATACCTCACAGCTTCTTCAACCGCTTAATATTGGTGTTTTTGGCCCGCTTAAGTGCGTGTATGGAAAGCTTCTTAACGTATGATTGCTGGCAATATGTATATTAATAAAGAAGACTTTCTATCCCTATATTCTGAGGCATGTACTAGAGTTGTTAAAGTCATCGTTAGGGAGGTGTCATAATTCACATTTGACCACAACGTATCCATATGTATCTACGCCAAATAGACCGCACATTGAAAATCAACTATGCACAGGTATATACATATAATTTCCGTGACTTCATTATATGCATCGCCTAGATGAAATACAGGTAGAACTACATACAACCTAAAAGACCTTGGTCTAAGATCACAAGGCGCACGGCCAGGAAGGTCTCGAGGCTACATTGGAGGTTAACCAGGGATCCTACGTCTAGGCCTCCAAATGGGGCGCGCCAATCAGGATCCAACCTTCAGATCCTCATCCTGATCCACCGGATTTCCGGATCGAATTCTTCGATCCAGGTCTGCACCGCGGTTCTACGCAGGGCGGATTAGGATCAATCCGTTTTGACCCTGATTTGCATAAATTTGCCAAGTCTTTCCTTTTTTTTGACTGGATAAAATGATAATTCATTTATATAAAATATTGTTATATACCACGGTTCTGGTCAGTGTATTCAGAAATCTTAAGATATAGCAAGTCTTTGTCAAAATTTTATTTTTGAATCTGTGTATAGATTATTTTATCTTACGCAATTTGAATAATACTAGTTTCAATATTATTTCAGGAGTTAATCATTAGTAATTTATATAATAGGGTTGAGATGTTGTAATTGAGTGGGAAACATATGTTTTTGTCTCAATACTATATCTTAACTTTTCTTTGATCTATTTCAAACAGTAGCCTTCTGGAATAATCAAATCTTTTTGATTAATCAGTTAATAAATTAAGGTATTTTATCTCTTTCTTTGTTCCCTTGAACTTACTTTGATTTGTTACCTAGTAGATATTCTACGGTGACTTTCTACAACCCTAGAACAATTAATGTAATCATGCAGTACAGTATAGTCTGTAAAGAACTTTCCAATGAAATAACTAGGACAGATGGCTGTGTTAAAGGATAAAGTATTGATAGGAGCTCCGCATGACAACCTTTCGGTGAAACACCAGTTAACTAGCCATACATACAAAACCATGGGTTCTCATCATAAATCCCATTTTCGACCAAAGCCAGGCACCCTTAGAAAACGACTGCAAAAAGCTTGAAGTGTTTGGCCAGGTATTATGGATAATTTGTGGAGTCAACTTTCTCACCACTTCCACTCTCTGCACTGATCGACACTTGGAATAGCATCAGACACATATGCAGCCGATATCCCCTGCCACAATAGTATGACAGCGATGATAAAATGAACATGCAGGAGAAATTTTCCGGTACAAGCGATTCCAAGTCTAGTAAGCCTTTCGAGGATTCGTAACTTATGAAATAATCCACCAGTTGCAGTCAGTACCAAATAGGAGATAAAATGAGCTCTCATCGGCAGTCGGCAAGCAGATGGCCAGAGACTCGCATGGACAACAGGGATCATGGCAAGCATGCCGTATGTGAGGCAAAGCACAGGAAATATCGTCGGAGAGCGGAAACAAAGAGATGCAAACTCTCTGGCGGTCAGAGTAAATATTGCCATATACACTGTGCGTGGCCATTTTTCGAAATAGAACTGGAAATAGACGAATCCAATTGTTGATGCAGCAATTAGGATAATTGTTCCCGCTTGTTCCCATTGCGGCAGTTGCTGTGTCTGTGTAGTGCGGGCTCTTATGCAGAACCAGCAGAAACAAATCGCTGCGAGAAGGAAGGCCAACACTACCGTCTCGTCCAAGATTTTTTTCGGGGCATGAATTATGGCTTGGTAAATGAATTTTGAAGCGAAATACGCACAACTAAATCCATGAACGAGGATGACGGATAAATTGTCACACATGTTCTCCAATGGATAGGCATCCATAACACGAGATTTTGATTTCGTTGGTGTTTGAATACGTAGTGTGAGACAAGACTGATAGGTTGTATCTCTCTCGGTCACAACAATGTATGTAGATAGACGCTAAAGAGCTTAATACTTAGTTACCTAAGATGTGTATTGACAATATGTATTTATTCGAAGAACTATAAATAGCTCCGAGAAATAAGAGTCAGCAATGTTAGGAATCACAGAAATATTAGACCCTCATAGTTCTTCTTTTGGCGTTTCTTGCAGGGTACATTTTCTATATGGTCCTGTCTATTGCCAGTTGCTTAGGAACATGTAGTTTGTGTAGCCAACAGATTCCTACAAGCGTTAAACTTGATCCATAATCATAGCAATAGCAGGATCGTTAACTAGTCAGTGGTGCACTTGTCTTCCATGCGCCCTATGATAATAACCCCTAACTTTGATTGCTCTGGTTGACCAGTGGAAATCAGACTTTTCGCCATTCTTCCCTTCATTAAACCCAAGCATTCACGGCTTCCTGTTTGAAGGCAAAGGACACCGGAACATGAAAGCCTCGTTAATTTCTGTAAAGAATCTATATGTGTTCTCGATCAAACATCGTTAAACTATATACTTTACGTAGTACCACATTTACTATTTCGCGCTTGGCCGAAACTTCGTGCCAAATCGTAGTCGATTAATTCCGCTCGTCGTGCTGTATCCCTGTCTGTGACGGCACCTATTTTCCGGATACCTGGACAACCTGCTTTGTTCAACACGCAGTACCTGCTATGAAAGCACGCACCGGGGAACGTGGTCGACGGCTAGCATTGACGCATCACTATGATAGCTATTACGTTCCCCAGCGTTGATATGCTCAAAATAAACGTATGATCATGGCTTCTCGGCGATATGAACTATACATCGAAGACCCTCAACCATGTAAACTGAACAGTGCAGAGAGATAGGTAGTATAGTAGTTTGGATCCCGGAAATTAGAGCAATCAGTATTGATTCCAAAAATAGCTAGAAATCCTATAACTGTACTTTCGAATAGATCCCCTTTGAGAGAATGATCGAGTAGAGCGATCGAGAGTGCCAGACAGGCCTCATCCAGCTGATCCTCTATAGTCTTGATCAGATACCGTGTCTCGGACCGGCTATCGGCTGGTTGGTCAAGGAGCCGGGTGCCATACTCCTCCATCTGATCCAGGGCAGCCAGCTGCGCTGTGGTCAGCTGATGGCGGAGGATAATCGGCTGATCGGGGCGGCTGCTGCGGTAGGCAAAGCAGATCAGCCGCTGCCACACCTGCCGGTACTGCCGGTATGTGGATGGGCGGAGATAGATCTGAATCGGCCGATTCCACACCCCCGGCCGGCGGAAGAAGGTATTGATCTGAATTTGATCAAACTCATTGATCCGGTGGCTGGCAATAGTCTGATAGGCCCGGTGAATAAGCCGCTCAACACTTTGAACAAAGACAGTCAGTAATGGTTCTTTCTCACTGTCCGGGATTGACCCTAGCGGAGCTACCGCAGCAAGATTCTTCCCCCGCAGATACTCCGGCCAACGGGTTAATTCCATCCACGGAGAGACCTCGCTGGAATGCTTTTCGATCGGGATAGACTGTTGCTCGATAGCCTGGGCTTGCTGATCCTGCTCGTACACCTGGTTAATCTGACTCTGAATAAACTCAGCCTTGCTCATCTGAGCAGCCTTCTGAACTCGCTCAATTTGACTCGCGGGAGTAATAGCGAAAAATTGACTCCCGGCACCGGCAATGTAGAATCGCTGGCAGCTAACAGATTCAGCTGCAGCAGCAATATTGGGTTTCCGATAGCAATCTCCGCCCCGTGGCCGCCGAGTCTCAGGGTGGATACCGCTCATATGACTCCGGAGGGTCTGGGGAGACCGACTAACATAGGAGCAGAGAGGACAGCGCAGCCCGGAATAGACTGGGAGATGCGGGATGGGAAGACTATCTGGAGAGGGAAACCGACAGACTTCCTTCCGGGGCTCAATCCACGCTTTTTTTAGCATCTCGGTAAGAGCTGCCTGGCGAAGCTCTGCCGTTTTGACCGATGGATGCCATCGATGATGGGTACGAAGATGCCGATCTAGATGCTGCGGGGTGACCGCATAATGACAACTGGTACAGATCCAGAGACAATATATCTCATTGTGGACAAAAAGATCCATTACAACAGAATTACCAGATTGGTGAAGCGAATCGATAGTAGAAGATAGATATAGATATATATATATATATCTCAATCAGTATTAATAATACCTTTGATAGAATAGGATATCGCTACAGCCAAAAAGATCAAGATATATAAAGAACAGGATTCAGATTAATCCTACTGATTAGAAAATAACACGTAGACGCGACAAAGGTTGTACTCTTGTCGCGTCGAATATTGACAGGTCATCTTAATATTAATAAAGTAGACATATAACCTGGGAATCGCAAAGAAAGAAAATAGATAGATGTGGAAATAAGAGCTTGTCTATGTCTATTCAAAGATAAGATAGAATATTGCTGGGTGAATCAATAGACACGCACACCATCCCAGCGGGAGTACGCACCGCGGATTTCGCGGAATAGATCTCCACTCTCGAGAGAATGGACGAATCAGCGGCGGCGTGGGTGCAGCGAACCCTCGCTGCACCACGCACTAGGGTACAGGCTCGGCGAGCAAGCCAAACTAATGCCGGACAAAATAATACCACCTGCTTTACTGCTTTCAGCTCCAGACTGCCAAATATGCCGATCAATACTATCATCCAGCTTTATTCCTAACTATATAGCTTTGGGGTCCCTGACAATCTTCCCAATAGCTATTATTCTTATGCCAAGGGACCCAGTTCAACGTGCGCGACGCGGTGCAGCTCTCGCAATGCACAGTTTTGGCTAGCCGGAATCGGTGTCGAAGCTTTATCATTGTCGAGAAAGTACTTAATATGATCAGGGGCAATATTTAGGAGGCATGTAGCGAGCTGTCCTTGAGTGGCGTCTGGCTGAGGAAAAGTAGAAACATCTGGACTGCGGTTAGCCAGTTGCTTGTACGAGTGAGTTATTGAATCTGGAACACATACCAGGAGAGTCACCTGAGATGTTTTGGATACATTCCACATAGGCTGGGGTACAAGTCGGCATGGCCTGTGTAGCTTGACCAACTTCAAGCACACCGAACCCCGGCCGATGGACCTTCTTAGCAATATCAAGACACTGCTCTGAGATATTAGGGCACTATTAGCGATATTTAGTTAGCCAATATAGTTTGCCAAATAGAGATTCAAAATTGTAATTAGTAGTTGGCAGGTCACACCTGTTCATTGAGGAGGCTGATCCAGGCCTCGCCAGGGGCGGCCAGGACGGCGGGGGCTAGGAGAGCGATAACAGAGATGAACTACACACTCTATTAGCAGCATTTCTCGCTGTTGTAAAGTATTGATTCTTTACCTTCATGGTTTCTTTATAGCGTGCGATTTCAGTGGATGTAATGAGTATAAAATATAGGAGAGGTTTACAATAGCTTAGATGTACGAAATGGTAGAGGGAAAGACGTTAGATTTATATAACACAGCTTTAGGCGGTGAGCAGGCACGTATATATTAAGATAGGGGGTAAGTACTCAGATTAATAATTATGATAGCCATAACTATAACTAGATCGTAGATTTTACTCCACAGTGGCACAGATATCTACATGGCTGGCTGAATCTGAAACTCAAAATATATCTTCCTGCTGCTGTTTATCTTATTGAGTAATTTTTATTTTGTATATAATTGATATTTTATTACCTGGTAGGCTAAGTTGGGTTAAGTAAATTGGCACCCAAGTCTAAGATTTCGATAAACTCTTGTATAAAGATTTCGCTAACTTTACGGATATATCTATTTATTATTAATCTATCTATATCTTAGTACTACTGTCAGAGTAGCGCGGTTCTCGAATTCTTTAGAAGCCGGCAATCAACTCAGCTCAGCAATTTATCCAGGAGGTGATGACCATGCGTACAAGCTGAATTGTGGGGCAAGCTAACTGATGGATCTAGTGGATGCAATAATACATGCTAGGAGATCCGATTCAGAAGATTTATAAACTTCAATTAAGCGAAAACAAGTGTCTATACCATTTGCCGCTCTTGCAGGCGGGCTTTCGTTACCGTCATTGTTAGCGTGTTCAAAGGTTATAGCCGTGTCTCACGCATCTGCAGCAATGCCGGTGATTGGTTATGGTTTAGTTCATTCTTTGCGTTGGCGATGATCGCTGTGTCCTCATACGTGAAGGAGCGGATCAATATATTAGAAGGAAACGATATACGAAGAGCCCCACAGGGATCAGCACAATCTTTTCGCACTACTCGGCATATATTTGACCCACAGTTCGCACTAGTGGAAGCTCCTCTTCTGCTCTACCCCCACCCTTTTCACCAATCACTACTCCGGCACAGGAACCAGAGATTCAGATGATATTCTATCCGGTGTAAATAGACCAGAATAGACTAAATCGCTTAATCGAAATATATACTGACTTTACATCGGAGCTTCATTAACATTTTAAGAGGGTGCTGTTTTTTCGTGCACATTCCTTGTGAAATCTGACAGATCGTCGCGGATGGATCACGACGGTCACAACCATGGCTATTATAAGTGGGTTAAAAGCAGTGATATCCGGAATATGGCGCTCCTTCTGGAGCTGATGTAAAATGTGGTGAGGTGTCACTGAAACATCGCTAGACCGCTTGAGTTCGCATGTTGACAGATCATCGGCACATCGCCTAAGCCTTGGATAAATTGGTCTTCGGCGCTAGATCGACTATTTACGAGGTACTATTGAAAAATGGTGGGTACGTGATCTGCATTATTCTTGTCGCAGTACTTTTACGGTGGTAAGTTATTAGCGCCACTGTATACCATAGAAGACGGAATAGATATAGGTGGATTTGTTAGAACGCGCCCATATGTGGTCAGTATGCCAGCGGTGAAGCCCAACACCGCCTATTCCAGCCAGCCCTCCGCCTAACTCGATGTCCGTGCTAGGCATTCTCTGGGCTGCCGTGCAAACGCTGGCACAATGGATGGCTAGCACCCGCATGCACTGACACGGGCCAGCCACGCTGGAGAGTACTCACCGAGACGAGGCAAAGCGGCCGTTAGAACTTCTTCTGTGGAGTAGCTACCAACGGTACTGTATCGTCCCGCCTCATATTGGAGTTTTTCGATCGTTTGGTTCTAGCGTCCTTCGGCTAAGCGACAAGACAAGTCACTGCCACATGTCCATTGTCTGTTACAGGAACAAAAGCAATCCCTTCGCCAGAACCTCACCAATATGTTGATTGATATACTATGAAACAAGAAATGTCGCTCCGCAGCCGTGGATGCGAGCGCTATGGAATGATATTTGCTATGTATTCGGTGGGTGTTGGTGCATGTGCACATACGTGGGACGGTGGCTAAGACAATGGCGCTGCTGTGCTGTGCTGTTCTGTTCCACCAGGATCTCTCGCGTCTGCTGTGCTGCATCACGGTTCGGTTCGGGAATCGCTCTTCGCTTTCTTGGACGGATCCCGCTCGGTAGTGGAAGGGCTGCATGCTATCCGGGTGTGGTGCCCAGCGTCTGCGACCGGGACGCGGTTGTGCCTCATCCTTCTCTCCTGAAGCGCATCTCGGAGCTGGGTATTCTCGCGGCGCAAGGAATTGCAGTCCATTTGGGCGTCGAGGAGGTCCAACTGTGCAAGTGCCGAATCGAGGATGGCTTCGAGGATCTGTTGCTGTCGGTGCGCTGATGTCTGCTCACGCGCGTACGAGCAAAGCAACGCCCCTAACTTATCCACCAGACTGGAGAGGACAGTGCCGACCCCTTTGGCGGCGACGAGCTCCGACGTCACGTCTCGCAATTCGCGTTTGGTGTTGGACAGTTCCTGACCCAGTTTCTCGACCGCATGGACAAGCGCGGTGCATTTCGCGGGGAGATCAGCAAAGCTCGCCATATCCTCCTGCCGTGTTAGAAGGCACTCGTGCGGACTGTCTCCCGATTACAGTTACCGATGTTCTGTCTGGCCCCGTAGATATCGGCTTTCCTTTGGCGTTCTTGGTCTCTCTAGCCGAGCACTGTCTGAGGGTGAGGTGCTATGCCGATGGGGATGGTAGACCGGATCTGGTGATAATTATGGGAAGAGGAAGAGTCAACTGCCGACAGACAAACGAACTCAAGAGCAACCCTTTCTTCGACTGAGTAGTAGAGGCAGTGCCTATCACCCTACGGAACATAGGGGTCTCTAGGCGTCCACCGTCTGAGTTGTTCACCTATCGCCTTTGGCAGAAACACAGAAAAGTGAGGGCTGGACAGGTATTCTTCCGCTTGGACGCTCCTAGGTGGCTGTTGAACACTTCTGCCGCAATGACTTTTTTGGGGGCAGATCTTGTTGTACACGCTCAATATGTTTTTACCTTGCCATCTTTGTCACCTGTACCCCTAATTTTTCTACCTTTTTCTACACACACACACACACACACACACACTCTCTCTCTCTCTCTCTCTCTCTCTCTCTCTCTCTCTCTCTCTCTCTTTCTTTTCTTTTCTTTTTTGTTGGCCCCCCTCTTTGCCTTTTTTCTTCTCTCTATTCTGTTTCTTGAACTCTTACCTCCCCACTGCCTCTTCTGCGTCACTCGCACGGCCATGGTCGTCGACAGGTTGTAAGGGCCTTCGAAAGAATATCTTCCGTCAGTCTATCAATATTCCACGTCCCAGCGTTGCAGAGCGCCTGGGACCGATACAGGGGAGCTCGCATCCTTCCAGGGCGTGTGCCGTGGATGACGATATTCTCTGCTTGATTGATGAACATGGCTTTTCCATACGAATCAAAGCAAGCGCGATCGAATCATCACCTGCCCTGTCGTTGTCCTGCCTGCCCTCACTTTCATTGCCGGTTGAGGGGTCTCCGGCAGGGTTTAAAGGTGACGACGTCCGTCGCATTGGAGAAATACACTTGTTCTCAGCACTGGTTTCGACGCGCTACTCGACTACCCACGACAGTTACAGGCCGCCTATAACGAAATTTATACCGCACGCCTCCGGATTTCGTCTAGAACTCGCTCCATCGCCACCATGGAACACGACACGCTGGACTCCCCAGAGCCGCGAGTAACCCCCAATCAGCCCATCCACGCTGGCGTGGAGGGACCGACCGCTCCGGAGTTGACAGCTCCCCGCAGCATTGCCCTGGGCTTGACCCGTGACTATGCGGCCAACTGGACGGTCCCCGATGCCCTGCGGGAGCTCTATCAAAACTGGTAAGTCCCTGTCGTTGACGTGCCGCCCTGGAGTTTCCCCGCCCGGTGGATGGGGCGCTGAGATCTGCCCGCAGGAAGGACGCCATCCTCCAGACCCACTCGATCAGTCTGCTCGAGTTTGCACCCCGGGTGTCGGCAACGTCGGACGCCATCACGATTGTTGTGGAGGGGTTGCAGCCACCCTTCGGCGGGGGCGGCGGAGGGCCCTTGGTCCGGAGCATCTTGGGATATATTCGCTTCAACAAGCCCCAGGGCAGTGCGGAGTTCACCAATTTTAGATCGTATCTGGACCCGCAATGCTTGGCAATCGGTCACAGCAGCAAGAAGCAGGACGAGCGCCTGGCCGGTGGTCACGGAGAGGGGCTGAAGATCGCCGCGTTGGTCCTCTCGCGGGCGGAGCATCACGTCAAGATCTCCGCGAGCGGGACCTACTGGAACTTTGGGTTCAACGGCCACTCGAAATCGAACTTTTACTGCCGGCTGTCACCGGCCAAGGCGAAGCGGGATCCCGGGCCCGCCAGCGACGGCATCCTGCTCCCCCGGCTGACCGCCGAGGTCGGACGGGACGTCTCGGTGCTGGTCGAGAAAGGCCAGAAGGGCCAGCGGTTGTCGCTGGAAGATTTCAAGGCCTGGATGTGGGACACGGTCGATCTCCACGCGCCGTCGAGCTCGGTCCGGACGCCCGTTGGCGACCTGCTGCTGGGGCCGGCGCACCGGGGCCGCCTGTATCTCAAAGGCCTCCGCGTGCCGGAGCCCAGCCGGGACGAGCAGACGTTCCGCTTCGGCTACAACCTGGTCCACGGCAGCGTCGATCGGGACCGGAAACGCCTGGTCGACGCGTCCGAGGCGATGGCCAATGTCCATTCGATCTGGGAGAAGGCGATCGCACGGGACGAAGCCAAGGCGCTGCCGCGCTATCTGGAGCTCTTGCGAGACCACGCATCTTGCGCCGACGCGAGCGGTGCGGAGCGGTTGGTCTCCGAGTCGACGGCCAAGAAGTTGTGGGCCGCGATCCGTCGTGAGCCATCGGCAGGGGGCGAGTTCTATTGCCAGACATCGGACCAGGACGAGGTACGTCTTCTGTCCTCTTCCTCCTTCTTTTCCCTTTCCCCTTTCCTTTGTCTTGATTTCTGTAAATCACGGCGCTGTGCGCTTCGGTCTCTGAGCCGTGCTAGTCTATGCATACATAAGAGACTCATCTAACCCACTACTGTTGGACTAGGATTTCTCCGTCATCCGGTCGGAACTGAAGAAGGAGCCACGGCCGCTCGCCGAACCATTGTGGCAGATTCTCCGGAAGTATGGCCTCGTACGAAATCCGCAGGAAGAACTGCAACACCGCCTTGAGAACTCGGAAGAGGTTGGCGTGCCCGACACGCCGTTCGCACATGGCCTGGTTCGTACTCTGCGGGCCTTGCTCGCACTGGCGCCGCCCACCCAGCAGACGACCGTCGTCTTTGTGCGGTCCGCGAGTGACTCGGTCGATATGGCCTATCGCATGGAAGCCAACGCACTCTACATCCATGGGAAGTGGCTTCATGCTCGGGGCGCCGATGGCCCGGCAACGGAAGGCGCCATCCGCTCGGAGCGCGATGTGTTTCTCTGCCAGCATCTGGCGGAAGAGCTGTACCGGCGTGCCGTGACGCTCATCGTCCACAAGACCGACGGGCCGCGCACGAGCCAGACAATCCAGCCGCTCCTTCAAGCGGCACACTGGAAGTTGCACGAGATGCCACGCCGGATTGAGGTGTACGCCGCCGCCGCTGACGACGGCACGAGGGCGACACAGGTCTCGTTCTACACGGGCCACAGCCTCCTGTTCACTAAGCTATGCGGGACGCAAGTGTCGTATCTGGTCGTGCTACATGGGCCCAACTGCGTCGCGCAGTCGGTGGATCACCTGCTGTACGACCCCAGCCGGGACTGCTGTCTGTGCCCGCGGCAGGTGGTGCCCCTGAGCATGCGACGAGCTGTGTTCGAGGATCCGGGCCACGGGCCCTGGGTTCCCATGGTGGTGAAGATGTCGGTTCGCGACGGCCTTGTCGGCGCCATGTCCTCCCCAGGGGGCCATCATTGGCCGCTTCTTCCGAAAGCGCAGGACGGAGCGTTGGTGGCGATTGCGCCTCCTTCCCACTCTCCGTCGTCGGAAACTGCAGCTCCCCGCGGAACCGTCCCGGTGGATCATCTGTCCACGGCCAGTGCTGCCTTGGACCCTGTGCTCACCACCCCGACGGCTGCCAGCCAAGAGGACCAAGAAACGATAGTCGCGTCGCAGCTGGCCGCTGGGCCGCTTGAACTGGAAACGGGCGTGCAGACGACCGCATCAGATACCGCATCGGACACCGCAGCACCGGTCCCTCTCGTACCAGTGGTGGAGAGCCTCGCCCCCCACCCGGATGACCATCCCGAGTCCGCGTCTGGTGCGCTGCCCTCGACCATCTCCCGGAATATGACCTCTGCGGATCGTGCGTGGTGGCAGACCTGGCCAGAACCGCCCCGGGATGTCCAAACGTCACCAAGCGCTGCGGATCACAACATTGGACGCTTTCAGGTAAGTTCTCCCTTGTCATATCATGTCCTTCACCACCGGTGCTCTTCTTCCAATATCATCCTTCCCTGTCCTTTCGATAAAGTCTAGCTGGGTCTCCTCCCTCTCACCGGATCTGCTCCGCCGTTTCCCTACGAACCCCTTGCTCTCCCGTTGCACACGAGGGGACGCCGTGGTTTAACAATCCTGCAGGTCCAGGAATCGCATCGGTCATGCGAGCCACCCCAGGGCCTCTCGAAAGGGCAATACGCTCGGGTCCAGCTCCGCGAGCCGGGCGGGGATGGCACCACGACCGGCCGGTACGTCCTCTACGTCCACGATGTTCTGCCGCCGACCCCGTCGCATGGTCCAGGTTCCCGCCTCGTCGTCACGAAATACTCCGTCCTGGCCGACCGGTTAGCTTGGGAAGCCGGGCATCCAGACACTCCGGCCCAGGAGCTGCTCCTGCACTTCCGGGACGCTGACCGGATTGGCTATCCGGACGACGCGGAGATTATTAACGTCGACGATGTGGCCGCGGTCGATTCAGTGGACACCGAGCCAGTCGGTCCGACCGTGTCGTATGTCGCACAGGTGCCTGGTAGGATCTACGTTCCGTCCCATCCTTTGTCTTTGGCTGACTTGTCCCCGCTCACCAGACCCGGCGAACGGCCTTTTCGTGCGGTATGGCATTCGTGAGGGGTCCCAGCGAGAGTGGTTGTTTCTGGCACCGCTGGTGTCTTCGCTCACGGGCCCGAGAGGCAGTGCCGCGTATCCGCGCTTTTCCCCGCTGCCCGTGGCCTCCGTCTTCGATCTCTCCCCCGACGACCTGCGCCTGTCGGTTGGCTTCCAGAAGGCGGGATATTGCGTGCAGGCCGCGGTCGGTTTTGCCGAAGACCGCCACCAGGCATGGAAGGTGAGTGCGCCCTCTCCCGTCGGTATCCAGATCGATGGGCCTCCGAGGCAACCGCGGAGGGCGCCAATGGACCAGTCAACTGTGAAGGCGGCGCTGACCCTGTGCTGTTGACAGACGCAACATCCCGATGCCACCGTCTACCCGGGCTGTGTTGCATCCGCCCTCGCGACGATGGACTACGACTTGTCCACGCAACCGGATGACAGAGGGCGCGATGTGCCCCGCATTGTGACCATTAGTGGCGAGGGGCCTTTCGCTGAATCAGCCGCCGGTTGGCTCGACCCTAGCTCCTCGGGCTTCGATGGCTTCGATGGTCTCTCCGGGGAGACGCTGAGTCCGCTTCAACAGTGTGAGCTCGCGGCGCAGTCTCCAGGGCTGAGTCCGGACTTCATCGTGCTGACGATGTCCCGGTCGATCTTGACAGACCAGTCGTGGGGCTCACTGGCTCGCACCATGGGTCTTCTCCTCGAGCAAGGGTATGCGGTGGCGCTGCGGCCGGTCTCTCTGCCGGATCCGGGGAAGCATGGGGAGCGATCGGTTCTTCTCCTCGCCGCCCCGGGCCGCACCGACCCACAGTGGATCGATGACACGCTTTCCGACCTGCGAATGGTGTCGGCCTCGGACGAGCTGCTGGAACGTGCGGAGAACGAGAGCGGCGTCTCTAGCGTCCCGGCCGCGGACGGTGTAGCGGCAGCCGGGTCGGCGGGTGGAGGCGATGCTAGTCCTCCATCGGATTCTACTCCTCGGCGTGGTGACAGCGTTCTCGCGGATGGCGCACAACATATTGCCGCCACGGTCTCCCGGATTATCGGAGAATTCTCAACCAAGTGCGCGCTGACGACGAACCTCCCCCGGTTGGTAGTGACCGACAATTCGGATGGCGCGCAGGACAGAGCCAAGCGACAGAGGATGTAGGCAGGAGCCAAATGAAACCAATATGGATATCAGCTCGTGAATTACAGCACCTTGCTCCCTGTTACTTATTCCAAAAATGTTTTTTTTCGCTTGTTCCCTTCTGTCTTGTCATATAATCTAGAGCGTCACAGCAGTATTAGTCGAATGTGGTCGTTGCTCTCAGCACACTGTTGGAGATCAGTTGAAATAGGCGCACGTAGTGTAGATTCATTGATATCATCAAGCACATGTTGAAGGAGGGCAGACTCCACATACCCCTACACTAATTCGGGTATGGGTCTCGTGATGTGACAGCGATTAGTAGTATTGAGACGACTTTTAAAGTATTGTTTGTAGAATATAGGAAAGTTACTTATTCCCAAAGAGAATACTTTCCTATTATCGGGAACCATAACATATTGTCTTTCATTGCTATGTGTTGTGAAGCGCCCAGGCGTATAGCAGAAACTAGTCCAGCTATAGTCAAACAACGGTGTTCCTTTATACCTCTGCGATTGAAATTGTTTTATCAAACTTTTTGACGCTGTGACGGAAATACGTACTAATCCCTATGTAAATGGTAGATGTACGTAACACCCACGACCGGGAAAAAAAATAAAAACCAGAGCCGAAGACAAACAAATATCTTCAGCTCCTATCTCTCCTTTCCACGTCTGCGCCTGTTACTAAAACTGCGAAACAGTAAGCTAGAACTTGTATATCGCGTCCTTAAGTCTTATGTGACACGATTCCTTGGCCGTAATCGGTTCCAGGCCAGGAAAATGAATGTCAAGGTAAGTGGGCAGCAGTTTTTTGGCCAGGACATTGGCTCCGGGCGCGTCTGCGAAAAAAAATGCGCTTGGCCCATTTCCAGGTCTCAACACCCATGAAGAAGAGGATAGCCTCGACGAAGACGATGCCCCATTCCCATGAGATCCAGGTATGCTTGAAGACCACTTTGTTAATCACGGGGATGTACAGGATCGGGAAGGTCGTGACAAAGCCGGCTATGATGGACCAGAAGAGGAAAGGGTTACGCCAGACATCGTGCATCCACTGCGTGAAGTAGCGCTCGGATTTAGGCTGCATGCGGAAGAAGGAACGGCGCATATTGACCATTTCCCAGGCCAGGAAGAGGGCGAACCAGGTGAGGCAGACAAAGGTCGTTGCGCGGGCGCGGAACACAAGATCACATTCTTCGCTCCATGCCCTGTTGCAGCCTCGTGCAAGGTTACCGTCGCCGAAGCCCCACATGCGGATGGAGAAGGCCGACAGGCAGAGGGCTGCTGTCCACAAGCCGTAAACTATGATGTCGATTATGACTTCCCAGGTGAAAATGCCGGCTTTGTTTTGTGGAGGTCTGTCCATGATATCGGGCGCGGCGACCTCCATGCCTAGACCCATGTCCGGCATGCCGGAAGTAATCATGATGATCCATATAATTTCTACAGGGGATAGGGGAAAGACGGAGCGGCCATCTTTGTCCTGGAAAGCAAGGCCAATTAGCAGTGTACAGGCTTGGGCGATGTTCTCGGAGAGGAGATGAAGGACGAATTTTTGAATGTTGTCGAAGATGCGGCGGCCTTCTTCTACTGCGTTGAGGATCGAGGCGAAGTTATCGTCTGTGAGGATGATGTCTGATGCGTCCTTGGCGACATCTGATCCGGCTTGGCCCATGGCGATGCCCACATCCGCGTGTTTAAGGGATGGAGAATCGTTGACACCATCGCCTGTCATAGCGGCAAACCGCCCGCGCCGGTGAAGCGCGTCAATCATGCGTACTTTGGTCTGAGGAGCGCAGCGGGCAATGACCAGAGGCAGGGTAGGGAGGGCATCGACTTGTTCGTCAGTGAGCTTGTCAAACTGACCGGCAGTCATGACCATAGCGTCTGCCACGTCGGCTGCCACTGTGCCGAGATCCGCAGGAAGAATCCCCACCTGCTGTGCAATGGCTTTGGCAGTCCCAGGATGGTCCCCCGTCACCATATGCACTTCAATTCCGGCACGGTAACATGCTGCGATGGAAGAAGCTGTTTCTGGTCGCGGAGGGTCGTAGAGACCGATCAGTCCAAGAAAGCAGAGATTCTTTTCGACGTCGTCACGGCTGATACCAGGATTGTCAAAGACATGGCTCTCTTTATACGGCCGATGGGCTAATGCCAACACGCGGAGACCAAGTCTTGCGAGCTCCTCCATATTTTCCAGAATCCAGCTGCGGTAACTATCTGTTATTGGAACTGGCAAGGATGAGTCATGATCCCAAATGATAGTCGTGCATGCATCGATGATACGCTCAACAGCGCCCTTGGTAAAAACCATCAGGTGTTCTCCTTGCGGGGTGACCTTAGAAAAGATGACAGACATCTTTTTGACGGTAGAATCAAAAGGAAACTCTGCCTTTTGGTGCCACACAGCACCTCTGCCTTTAGTCCATCGGTCGCGATTCCAGTTAAACCTTGAAGCAAAGACTTCGATAGCAATCTCAGTGGGTTCGCCTCGAGCATGCCACTCTCCATCGTCGGATTTATAAACATGCGACAAATTAGCCATAGATGCCACGTCTAAGAAGTCCTCTAGTTGACGGTTTCCCAAGATGAGGTCCTCTGGTTTCCCCACAGGCTCTCCTTCCTTTTCAACATCAAAGTGCGCAGGAGACACCGGAGTGAATGTTACGTTGCCGACAGTGGGGTTAAAGGGCTCATTAGATATGCCGACTGAGTAGGTGCCTTTCGAGGGAATCCAGGCCTTTTTAACAACCATCTTGCCCTGAGTCAAAGTACCTGTCTTATCAGAACAGATATCTGTCACTGCCCCAAGCGCCTCGAGAGAATCAAGCTTGCGAACAATAACATTCCGCTCCACCATGCGCTTCGTACCGACAGCCATGGTAATAGTAAGGACGACTACTAAGCACGCGGGAATCATACTGAGGCCAGTTCCGACTGCATATAAGATAACTTCGTTGTTGTCACTAAAGAGATTGGCAGCCATTACAACGATAGCAAAGAGCACAGCGACTCCGAACAGTATAATGGCCAATTTCGACAGCTTCCTCTGCAGTGGAGTTCCAACATTGACACCAAGAAACCGACCGACAGCATCAGTACCCGTCAGGGTCCATGCCTGAACATACCAACGCTTCTTCGTCTCTCCGTTGGGTCCACGCTTCACCGGGCGCTTCTTACTGTTGCTATCTCGCAGTGCGGCAGCAATAGAACCAATCTCAGTGGACATACCGGTACTAAAAACCACACCACGCGCGCGACCGCGAGTGACGGTGCTAGAGCTATAAGCGATGTTCAGACGGTCTCCAGGGCCAGTATCATCCTTAAATGTAGAATCATATTCCTTCTGGACCGGAAGGGACTCTCCTGTGAGCAGGGCCTCGTCTGTCTCGAAGTTCACAGCTTCGACTAATCTAGTATAGATAATTATTCATTAACTGATATTGAAACCACATAGACACATGGAAGATATACCTGATGTCTGCTGGAACTGTATCGCCTGTTCGCAATTCAACCATATCACCAGGAACGATCTCCACTGAAGGAACCGCGAAAGTCTGGCCGTCCCTAGACACTGTACCGGTAGGCGAGCTCAATGAATGTAATGATTCCATTGTTTTTTCGGCGGCATACTCCTGGAAGAAACCAACGATAATATTCAAAACGATAACAGCGGTGATAAATCCGCCCTCAATCCACGATTTGATACCGAAACTAACGGCCATGGCTAGTATTAAGACCTATAACGACGAATTGGATCAGACTCTGGGAGCTCTTATACAACGAAGAGGGGATCAAGGCAAAGAAAAGTGGGTCCCTTAACTAGCATCATTGCGTTGGCCACCTGGCGGATAAGAATTTTGATCACGGAGACTCCTTCACCTTCTTCCAACTTGTTGGGGCCATACTTGTGAAGACGTTGTTTCGCTTCCTCAGAGCTCAAGCCCTCTTCGAGTTTGGTCCCCAGTTCTCTAATCACAACGTCGTATGGGAGAGCGTGGGCAGACTGGCTCAATAGGCATTCTCCAAGGCCAGCGCCAGAGTCCTTTTCGACCATTGTAAAAGATAATGTATTCGTGATGCCTCTCTGCCCAGTATGCGTCCAAAATCAAGACCTGACCGCATAGAATGGTTAAAAGTGTAGCAAAGTGGCCGAAGGTCCTTTTCAAGCCATTTGCGGTCAGGCGAGAGCCTTTATCAGGGTCCACTCTTTAGCCTTTGTCTGGATTCAGAGTGAACCTTGGCTGAATGTGGACGTCTACGGTCACTGGAGGGAAGTGCGAACCTTGGCGCCTAGAGGATACGCCAAGGATGTGGATACTCTAAAAGTACATACCGGATTCGTTAACGTGGCAAATGGAGGATCTTGGCAGCATCAACCAGATATCTACCTAATACAGTCCTACCTCTAGCCGACTGGCTCGGCAATCAACTGTTATCACCTACCGGTACGGTGAAAACAACATTTCGCTCGAGTGCCTTTGAGTTTATCTTCTCTAGACGAGGGACACTTTCCAGCCTGCTATGGGGGTAAGCTAATCATCTCCTTTTCTTGGCTCATTCTCTCTGATCATTATTGATCAATGCTTAGTGAACATTTTCAAAAGAAAGTATAAATTTACAAAAGGCAACGAAGGTTCCAGTAACAGCTTCTTAATTGGTATGCTTTCTTTGGAATATTCATTACTGAGCTCCTAACTTTTTACTATTTCCATGCCACAAATATTCCGATGGGTGTTTCTGGAATGGAGAGCATAAGTTTTTGTAGCGACCAAGTGCTAAGACGCTAGTGAGCAACGCTAAATAGTAGCAGATATTTGTCCCATTCGACAGCGGAGGGTAAGACCCAGCCTTACTGGGCGATTCGTGGTTAACCATGCGTGGGGCTACATATAATCACTAAACTTGCCAAAGTGCACGTGATATGAGGCGATGGGTTTTATCTGATCCCGAAAAACCAATTCCTCCTACTGTCCAATCTTCCTACCGTTCTAGTTACCTAGTCAAGGATATCGGCGTAATTATGGCAGGTGGCTTCATTGCCTACCACGAGCCTGGGAGTATGTGTGGAGCGCTTGATCTGTGGCCATATAGACCCTGCACTGACTGTATGCAGTTGTCGAAATCCTAACAATTATCTCCTTTTTCTTTATCCTCTCCTTGGCAGAATGGCTTTCCTCGAAAATGATCCGTGCTGGCATTATAGGCCAAATTGCAGTTGGGATAATATATGGAAAGCCTCTGGCTGATATCCTTACCTCGGAGTCGCAGAAAACCTTTCTCTCTCTCGGATACGTTGGCCTGATCCTTATTATCTTTGAAGGTACTATTACCTCTTTGCTGCGTAAAGCCTAACTTACTGATATCCGTACAGGGGGTCTTGGCGCTCGTATTGACCTGCTCAAGCAAAATTTTGTCCTCAGCATGGTCGGAGCGATTACAGGTGTTTGCTTTCCAATCGGTCTCTCCTATCTCCTACTTTATCTCGGATTTGGATACGGTAAGATTACCACTTCCGCGATGCTGACAAAGCTGACCTTCCTAAGGCCCTGTGGAAACGTTCATTATTGGCGCAGCACTCTCTGCCACTTCTCTGGGTAACCTGCCTATAATTTGAATTCTATTTTACGTGCTAATATTCCAGGTACCACATTTGCTGTTATATCATCGGCTTCAAGTACAATAAATCTTGCTCAGACTCGTGTTGGTTCTGTTCTTGTCAGTGCGGCTGTCATTGATGACGTGGTTGGCCTCGTGATGTCTAGGTCAGTCACCATATTAATTGTGACTTATTCCATCATCAAGAACTCATGCGCTAATTCTAAATATCAATAGCGTCATAGGAAATCTACATATGATCCAAGAGGACGGTGATATCAATCTTGGCTGGCTTATTGGCCGTCCTATAGTCGCCTCTGTAGGTATGGCTCTTGTCACTCCTATTGTTACCAAATTCTTCTTTGCACCAATGTTTCGGCGATATATCGAATATCACTTTGCGCGCTTCGACCATATATCTAATATCATTCTCATGGTTTTGGTCCTGTCTGCATTCATCAGCATCGCTGCCTATACCGGGACATCAGTTCTGTTTGGTTCCTTTCTTGCAGGCTCATTTCTGTCGTACATACCAAGCAAGCACCCCGAGGGACCGTTCGTCGTGATGAGCCGTGAAGAGGGCGAGCGAGAGACTGATAAGAGCCCGACGTTTATTCACACATTCGAGCGCTACCTTTTGGATGTGCAAAAGTATCTCATGGAACCACTATTTTTCGCAAGTATGGGATTTGCAATACCCTTTGTGCAGCTTTGGACTGGGAAAAGGATATGGAGGGGCATCGTCTTTACACTTCTCATGATATTTGCGAAGGTAAGGTTTACGGGTATTCGATCTTCCTTTGTTCTATGCTCATACTTTACAGTTCATTGTTGGAATATGGATACCATTGTGGGATTGCGTATTTATCAGAAATGTACCAAAATTAAGAGCTGGTCCTATTGTACAAGGTTCTCCCGAGGGAGCGAACCGTGACCGCAACACGGGGAAATCCGACCGTGAGAGAACTTGGCTGTCCGGTCTGCTCTTGGGCTCTGCCATGGTTGCCCGTGGTGAAATTGGCCTATTAATTATTGAAATAGGCTATAACAATACGTCCTATGTAACCCAGGAGGGCCTCATCACGGGTGTATGGGCCATACTTCTTAATACGATTATCGGTCCAGTCATTGTCGGTCTGCTCGTCAAGTACTATGGCAAGCGGATAGCGGAGGGGCAATGGGGATTGCAAAACCACCCGGTGCCTAGCCTGGGACACTAGGCGAACAAGGATAAAAGTACAAAACAATGATCATCTCTAAAATTTGTTATAGTTTGTTTGATGATGTCTCGCTACGCTATGGATGGTCTACTAGAAGTTAAAAGTGTATTCGGTTCTTGTTGGATCTTTATGTTTCTGTTGGTAACGTACTTGGAAGCGAGCCGCACCTGTAAGCCAGCCGCACCCCTCTGATTTCCATAGAAAATCGTCTCGTGTATTTTCAAACAACAATATCTCAACCAATCCAGCTTCTATCTGCTTGAAGGTTTATATATAGCTTAATATATACTGGAGTAATAATATACTAAGTTAAGAGATCCTTTTAACTTTTAGTTACTAGATAAAGATACATTATAGCATATATTATAGTATATGGTCAGGATTTATATGTTCTCAGGCATCTTTTTTATTTACACTCAATTTACATATAAAGAGTACCGATATTGATAAGATACTCTGATTTCGAACTAATATATTTAATAGAAGTTGAGATATTGTTGTTTGAAAATAGACGTTTTTCTATGGAAATCAGAGGGGTGCGGCTGGCTTACAGGTGTGGCTCGCTTTCCGAGTACGTTATCTGTAGCTGATTGATTTGGTAAGACCGACCAGCATATTCGCCAGTCTCGTCTCTAGTGGACTGAAATTGAGAGACCATGAATAGAGGCATTCAATATTCGCTTCCATCAGCTCATAGTTAACGAAACTTCTTTATTTATAAACATTGCAAGTACACAGGCTGAACAGGCTCCGACATTTGTTTGCCACATTAAGGTGATACAGTCCCTCATTGACATCCAATAATTTGCGGAACTTTTGCTGAATATCATTTCCGTGGATCGTTGCCTTACTAGGCAGCAGTTTTACTGGAAACCGCACCCCCCAGTCTCGAGCGGAGTCATAGGAGTCAGCTTGCTCTGACCCCTGTTGTGGTTAGTCCATACTCTCGAACGAAAACATCCTCCTAGCCGCAACCACAGCTTAATCCATAATCCTACTACATATTAAATTCTCTCTGTTAACTGTAGCCTGCCTATATAAAAGTTTCATCCCTGGATGTTTGAGCTTATATAAACAGTATTGCTCGCTTCTGAGATAATTTCTTTCGTTTTGTCAACCGATGCTTATTAACGGGGACAAAAGGGCTTGCGAACCCTGTGTCCGCGGCCACCGCGTCACGTCGTGCAATCATCGTGGTATGCTCAAGTCTGAATCAGATGACGTTTAGGCAATACTAAAAGATCCAGACCGCCCACTCTTGCGCATTAATAGAAAAGGCCGCCCCCCCTTAACCTGCTCGAAATGCAATAGTACGACTTGTGCAAGGCCAGAAGAGCACACTAAATACAGAACTGCTGCAAAAGTAGACGTGCACCAAATATACCCCAATAGGCCCACCATATCAAAACACCGCACCTTCAGAGAGCAAAGAAATACTTATCAACAAAACATGGTCAGAACCTCACAATCCTCAGTGCTATACTAATGATGGGTTCTCCTGTCTCCTTCATAGAAATCTGCTACGCGATTGTTTCGCCGAAGTACCACTTCCTTCGTCCCGATCGCACCACGCCCAGCTTCCACGACAGCCCCAGTCTATGTTCAAGACCATATTGGCCATTATGCCGCGCCTAACGGCTCCGCAAGGCTGACCGCATCGAAGGAATCAACATCCGTAACTTCCTCTACATGGGCAGACCGTCACGACACATCTTACCAACAACCGCACTTCCAGCGGGTTGACTCCACGGTCGACCCTAAACAGAACCAAAACGAACTTCCATGTGCTCCAATGTTCTTACCACATCCTGCACTCTCGATGTATGGTTTTAGTTCAGCTCCCGCCACGCCATTAAGTGTAACGAGTGCGGAATTCCTGGGTTCCAGACCGGTAGGAGGATTGCATTCACGCACTTCTTCAGTTGGCTGTCTGAACTCTCACGAATGAAGTTGGTTGGCTTTTGCTGGCTGGCGGTTCAGTTTAGCCCGCTAGAACATCGGATTACGTATCGTTGGGATCCCCGGGGTAACAGCATACTCCTGACCAGTCAAGTCTGGGTTGTCTCGAAAGTAGAACTGGGCTATGAAAACTTCAATATCACATGAGTCATATGACTGTTGTATTTTATTCCCCACTCTAGTATGTACTTCGTGCGTTCGGCGTACTGAGAATTGACAATCACCTTACATCATCCAATATTGAATGCATACTATTAGTAGAGTTCAGAGTTCAGTTGGATGCTCGTGTAAGTGGGGTAGGTTTATCGCCAAGAACTGCCCGGGTTGCAATTTTGCCGATGCACTTTTGGGGGGGGGCATTTACCTTTTATATGGTTTCTTTGGCCTTCCGTTTTCATCACTCCATGCAAAAAATTCTCATACGCTCGATTTATAATTTGCGTGTCTAAGGTACTGATTCTGTTGCAACCTCGACCAATATACATTTCGATCTTGTATCAAGTCTGTTCTCTTCCCCCGCAGCCTGACTGCTTTAACTGCACATCGGCAAGGCTCGGCTGCCCTCCACCCAAATGATATTTCGCCTTGCGTACTACCGTGAATTCTTGGAATGCCGGGGTGTCTTCAGCCCGTTTCACAGCTATACACGATCTTACTTGAAGCCCTGACCTTTAAACGGGAGGCTAATAGCGATCCCAGCCAAGCACTGCTGACCCAAGATCCAGTCATTCAGGAGGTACTGGAGCTAGCTGAAGGTGAGATTTCAATGGCAAAGAACCCGAGCCGGACGAAAGCTCCTAGGAAAAAGCGATTTGCACAGACTAATGGGGAACATTATCATCACTTGGATGCCCTAAACTTCAGGAAGTCCCTTTCGCAATGGGACAGGGTCAGAGGTTGGCTATGTCCTGGTAGGAACACCCAGCGGCGACAAACTGAAGTGGAGCATTGGATGGGGAATGTTGGGAATGGAGAACACATTTGGGGTAATAGTGCAGGGATCATAGCCCAAAAATATGGGGAGATCTGCAGAATCACGGGCTCTGGTGCCTTCGGAGTGGTCCTGCTCCTGCATAAGACACGGAATTGTAACCCCCCCATTGACCGCTACTATGCCTTGAAGGTCTTTCGTCACAGACCCGGTCAACCGTTGGCTGAGTATCAAAAGCGAGTGAGGGCGGAATTCTCGATTGCTTCCTCGTTACAGCACCGGAATATTATACAAGCGTTCGAACTTCTCTCTGTTGGTACTGATAACCTGTGTGAATGTATGGAGTATTGTTCCGGTGGGGATTTATATTCCCTCCTGGTTATCTCTGGCCCCTTAGAGACGGCGGAGGCAGATTGCTTCTTCAAGCAGCTACTCCGCGGTATCTGCTACATGCACGAAATGGGTGTCGCCCACCGTGATCTGAAGCCGGAGAATCTTCTTCTAAGTCAGCGTGGCTGTTTGAAAATTTCTGACTTCGGTAACGCGGAATGTTTTCGCTTCTCGTGGGAAACTCAAGTGCACATGTCGAGGCAGCGTTGCGGCACCGGGCCATATATTTCTCCCGAACAATACCACGAGGAAGAGTTTGATCCTCGATCCGTTGATATCTGGTCGGCGGGTATTGTATATGTAGCTATGAGAACAGGAAGGAATCCCTGGAAGACCGCAAATGAGGCAGATGAATGCTTTAGAGACTATCTCGAAGACCGCCGGGCAGGTCGGGGGTACTTCTTGATTGAAGATATAGGCCATGTCAGGTTATCCACCACCCCTTCCGTGATATTCCCAGACCGTTAATTCTACCGATACAGGACCGAAGCCGGGAAGTTCTATACTCTACGCTAGATTTTAATCCGCTGCGCCGGCCCACAGCAGCCGCGATCCTTAGAACTCAGTGGGTAAAGCAAATCGCTTGTTGTGAAGCTGCTAGCTCAGGACTCCACGAGCAGCTGCCTGGCCCGTGGACTTCACAATCCACCGAAGAGCTTTCCAGGGTAGTATAGTTTTGCGCTGCCGAGAGAAGTGATTTTATACCAGTCAGGAAGGGTGTGAGGGACCACCTTCCGGGTAAAATGCAGGGCACTTGAGGAGGACTTGGTAGGTATTTTGATTGGAAAGACGCGTGGGGGAATTAACTGCACATTGTGATATCTCGTATAAGCTGCCGTGTCATGCTACTTTTGAAAAGCTCATAGTCAGGTGGGCAGTTAATACGAAATATTACGAGAGACTTTAGCGTGGGTAGCGGGGGATACCATTACAATTTGGAAACCTGGTCCTCCAACACTTGTCCTATGATGAGAGAACGTCGGGTATATTGGTTTAGTGTGTACATGACTTCCAGAGGCGTCTTCGCGCATGTTCGCTTTCCCCATTTGAAGTAACTGTAGATTGGACCAACTTCGATTTTCCGGGCGTTCCACTGTTGTAAATGAGAACTAGAATGGCTTTGTAGAGATTTCGGAAGCTCGTAAATCATGCCAAAATGGGTAAGGAAAGTTTGCCCTATCCGTTGCGGGACGCGCGGTTACATGTGGCCTACGAGTGCAGGTATCTTGTTGCCTATCTTTCACCGAGACGGAAACAGCAGAAAGCAGAGCGTATTGTAAACACCCCTGTCCATTGTTTACGAGCAGAATCTTCTCACACGGAAGTTGAACTTTGGCAACTTCTGCACAAATCGGAGCAAAGAAAATGGCACGGGGTGAAAAGACCAGAATGCTAGGTCCATACCGCCTCGGCGGATTGGACACCATAAATCCCGCACCCGATTCCGTCCATGGTCATCTTGCGAGTATTTGAAAGACAGTTACTGCCGTGGGTGGCCTTGAAACCCCCTTGCATATACACCCCCGACCAAGTACAGCGTGCGTGCGTCTTTGCCAGCATTCTTGCTCTAGTGAGCTATGTGGAAGCCGCACCTTAACTTTATCACGTTGCATTGTATTTTCAAGATATACAGCCAGCAAAGAAAATTCACTTGCTAACTTCATCGAACCAGATGCATATATCATATTCCTCAGCGTCTTAGCCTTGATCATTGTCTATCCGCAGGGCAATTTGAGAGCGGTTGATGCCTACTTCTTTGGAGCCAGCGCTTCAACCGAGTCTGGGCTCAATACGTTCGTATCTCGCTTTCCCAAGCGCTATGCAGCGATCTGACTGACCCCTTGCAGCATCGATGTGAAGGAACTGAAAACATATCAACAGGTGTATTTATACCTAATACCTATTCTCGGCAACCTTGGGTTTGTTAACATCCTGGTTGTTCTTGTTCGATTGCGCTGGTTCAAAAGGCGTTTTGAGACTGTCGGTAAGACCCCATCTTGTTGCAAGTTGCAAGCTGTGTTCACTGACTGAAACCGATCGTATTGAAATCAATGCAGCACCCAACGTCCTGGGATCCAAGCCGCAAAATGTAGTCAATGACCCTAACCTAGAAGAGAAAACCTTCGGTGACCGACAAGACATGGTCAAGAGCCATAAGTCAGAACAACCTATTGATTCGGATGGACAAGGCAGCAGACGGCCTGTGTTGCCCTCGCAGGGCCGCACCCCAGTCTTAGATACGTAAGTAGAGTTATGACAGACACCCTTTCTTACGGAGGCCTTTTTCTAACGGAACTTGTCTACCTTGGCAATAGATCCCTAGATAATGTACAGGAGGGCCAACAGGTCAATGTAGCCACTGTCAAATCGTTACGTGCGGCTACTGTATCTTTTACAGAGGGTGTGAACACAGATAAAAAAGCTCTGTACATCCCCCCTCCCTGGGCGAGGGATAGAGGTATTTTACAATTGGGGATTAACCTGTCTATACAAGGTCACTGACAGATATCCTCGTTCTGCAGGTTGCCCTATACTTGAAGTTGACGACAGTGAATCGGGTGACCCAGGTAAGTGACGCTGTTCTTGGTAGGCATATTGGCTATCTAATATTGGTTTTTGATTGCGTAGATCTCGACAGAGCCAAATCCAGCGCGGCAGATTCCATAGGCTTGGACTCCTCTCGCCGACATATGAAACACAGATTTTCTTCTACAACCACCTCGTTGGAACGCATTGCTTCTAGGATAATCACCATGGATCCAACTCTGAGTCACTGCCGACCGGCTCCGCCCTTATCGCGTATGCCGCTCTCGAAGGATTTAGCTCTTCCCAACCTCTCTTCCAACGCGACTGTGGGTCGGAACTCACAGTTCCACAACTTGACCGAAAGGGATAGAGAGTTATTGGGGGGAATTGAATACCGTAGCTTGAAGCTGCTGCTTAAGATTGTTACAGGTAAGATATTTCTTCTTATAAAAAGTATAATTCTGGAATGACACACCGCTAGCTTATTTTTTCGGTCTCCATCTATTCGGCGCCATTTGCCTTGTGGCTTGGATCCAGCACGCTGATCCCAAATATCGGCAATATCTCGAAGAATGTGGACAGGGTAATGTGTGGTGGTAAGTGAAAGTAGGACTGAAATACGGTTGGCCTGCTTACGCGTTTCGTTCCTTACAGGGGATTCTATTCGGCGCAGACTATGGTAAACAACCTTGGATTTACACTCACTCCCGACTCGATGATATCTTTTCGTGAGGCTACATTCCCAATGATCCTCATGAGCTTCCTCGCTTACGCCGGAAATACATGCTATCCCTGTATGCTTCGACTTGTGATTTGGTTGATACTCAAGCTCTGTCCAAAACAATGGTCAGTGAATGAGCCACTGACCTTTTTACTGAAGCATCCCCGTCGATGCTACACGCTTCTTTTTCCGAGTCGGCCGACCTGGGCTCTCTTCGGTATCTTGTTTGCTATGAACTTTGTGGACATTCTCTTGATTTTAGTCCTCGACCTTAATAATCCCGAAGTTAACATTCTTGCGACTGGTCCTCGGATACTAGCTGCAATATTCCAAGCGGCTTCTTCACGGCATACCGGAACATCGACCTTTAACTTAGCGGATGTAAATCCAGCAGTCCAATTCAGCTTGGTAGTCATGATGTATGTCGCAGTTTTTCCCATCGCAATAAGCGTCCGGGCGTCGAACACATATGAAGAAAGTTCCTTGGGTTTGTATCCTTTCGAGGCTGAAATCGATGAGAGGACTGGTAGATCCTATATTATGACTCATATTCGCAACCAGCTCACGTTCGATTTATGGTATATCTTCTTGGGAATATTCTGCATTTGTATTGTCGAGGCTGATAAGATCTCGGATACATCGATTCCAGTTGGGACCCTCTTCCCCTTCTCTGTCGGGATATAAGCTAACTAGCTCTAGGCTTTTGCTGTTTTTCCAGTTCTTTTTGAGGTAGTATCCGCCTAGTACGTATTACCCCCCTCCTCCCTTTAGAAATTGCATTCTAATTCCTTCACAGTGGCAATGTGGGGCTCAGTCTAGGTTATCCAACAGTCAACACGTCACTGAGCGGACAGTTTACCACATTTAGCAAACTTGTGATATGTGCAATGATGATACGAGGCCGTCATAGAATGCTACCGTACGAGCTAGATCGTGCTATACTACTTCCAAATGAGCGGCTCTCGAAAGATGACAGAGACGAGATATATCATTGGCCAGAAGTTGCGGGACCAGTGAAACTCACTCGCTATCATACCAGCTAGGATTCGCTGAGATTATATTCAGGCTTTTTCTAGCGTAGGGGTTTCTCTTATACGGAGAAGCAACAGGGTTTTTTAAAACTAGATGGGTGTCCTAAGCGAGATGCACTTCGCCCGTTTATACGAGAAAATAAACATAATATACAAAGTGCCAGAGGGATTCAATAAGAAATCCTCTGTCTTGATTATATTAAGTGGAATATATGATATTCCCACCACCAGCGGACCCAAGCCAGAGCCCGCTGAAGCGGCTAATCTTTCTTCACTTTCAAAAAGAGTGTGATGCTATCCCACTTAATGACACTTAGGCGTACCTTCGTCACAAGTTTCTGCATTGAAACGTAATAATGCTAAGACTAACTCAGTGTGTCTTACTTAACTTGTATCCTATCATACAAGGGCGCCATTTCTTGCCAAGTGGGTAATTCGTACTCTGTAAAGTAATCAGGGAAACTAACCTGCCCCTATTTCAGGACTTTACTAACCTGAAAAGGAGGCCGAATGTTCATGGCCAATTAGGCTTCAGCAGTGACATCTACAATGCCAAGATTCTAGCTGAAAGCAGCTGAACATCCATCCTTGGCAAGCATGAGGACCATGATCGACTCCATATTGGACAAACGTAAGAATTGAAACGAACCTTAAATTCTGCCCTGTTCCAATACTTATAATCTTGAATCACCCTGGATAATTTCACTCGATTATTATCTGTGAATATATGACTCTCGCTCATTGATTCATGGGCGATTCAACATGCTCCTCCTCACTTGGTCGCGAATCGCCTCGTCCCTACGAGCACTGAATCAAAATTGGCGCAGTCATGCGGGAGCAACCAGCCCTTCACGCGCGGAAGGGTCACTATTCAGTCGTCTGAGCGAAGTCGTTCGGTATACATGGCACCTGGGATTCACATCGTTCGGGGGACCGCCTGTTCATTTCCAGATACTTCACACGCGGTTTGTCGAGAAAGAAAAGTGGGTCGATGAGCAGACGGTAGGCACTATTAATGTGAAATGTATATTTTGGGGCTAATGGGTGTAGTACCAAGAACTCTTCGCCATATGTCAGGGTCTTCCAGGACCAGGGTCAACAAAGATGTTGTTTTGCTTGGCTTTACTCCACGCAGGATTCATCCCTGCCTTGCTTGCATTTTTTCTCTGGTCGTATGCGTACACTTTAAATTCAGCTTCTGTAATGCAGGATAATGTACTTACTAATTCACTAGTCTCCCAGGCGCAGTTGGCATGTATGCACTCTCTCTCGCCGTGCAACGGATTGATGAGACACTTCCTGCTCCAGTCTACGCTCTTCTCTCCGGTCTGAACGCCTCAACCGTAGGCATCATTGCTCTTGCTGCTGTCCAGCTAGCTGAAAAGGCCATCCGTGATAAGATTTCCCGAATCCTGGTAATCTTTGGCGCATGTGCTGGCCTCTGTTACAGCGCGCTCTGGTATTTCCCTGTTCTTATGGTTGCTGGCGGTGTTGCTACTGCATTTTGGGATGGGCTTGTGTATCAGCAGATTTTGAGGGCGAAGAATGGGTGGAAAAATAGAAATCGCCAGCCCGAACCAGAAGGTGATGCTCCCGATTCAGCGGGCTTGGAGCATATGACTGTTAGAAATTTAGCTCGGGGGCCGGGGCTGGAGATGCTGCGGATGAGAAAACCTGAGGCAGGGGCTTTGTCGCAACAATTGAATAATACCCAGGCTTCAGGAGGAAGTGAAGAGCCCCCGTCACAAGATCATGCGATTCGTATTCGTGTTGGGATTGTGATTTTCGTTTTCTTCTTCAGTATGTCCCATTGTAGAATGATGCTGTTCGTGAGCTAATCAGGAACTCGCAGCCTCCTTTATCGCCATACTTGTCTCTAGAGCCAAAATTTCACTACCCCCTTTGGCCCTCGATCTCTTCGCCAACATGTATCTCGCCGGCACTGTGATTTTTGGCGGGGGCCCAGTTGTTATCCCCTTGCTTCGTTCCTACGTTGTTGACCCAGGCTGGGTCTCCAGTCGAGACTTTTTAATTGGCCTCGCTATAATCCAGGCCTTCCCCGGACCAAATTTTAATTTTGCTGTTTTCCTCGGTGCACTCGCTCTTCGAAGCACATCCTACCCGACAGTCTTTGGTGCGTTCCTTGGTGGATTGGGAATATTCTTTCCTGGAATCGCCCTCGCTATCGCGATTCAGGCCTTCTGGCGTGTTCTACGGAAGCGAAAGTATGTTACTGATTTCCTCCGCGGTGTGAATGCGTCGGCAGTAGGATTGGTTTTTACGGCTGTGTACCGGCTTTGGGAAATAGGGTATTTGAGTCCGGGGGTACGCGATGGGCAAAGTCTGGCGAAAGAGCCGTGGTGGGTTGTTGTTGCCGCTGTTACTTATGCTGAGAGTGCGTGGTTCAAGGTTCCTCCTGCATTCGCGATTTTGTTAGGTGCTATACTTGGGTTGTGTTGGTATGGAGTCGTTTCTCATGCCTGGTGATGGATTGTGTGGTTATGCTGGAAAACTCCTCGGGAGCTGGGCATCAAGAGATTTCAAGTCTCTAATACAATTGAATAGATTGTGCAGTAAGAATGTAAAAGATGTCGTTTTAGGAAAAGAAAAAGGACTCCCCTTCAGAGAGAAAGTGGTACAGATTGCGGCTATGTATATAACAATCCGTTCGGCCTTCGTTTTTGAAATCGGCCTCCGAATGAGTAGAAGGACAACTAGTCAATATTTCAAGCTAAATACATACAAAGACAAACGTGCAATCATCAAGCCAGACTAGAGTCACCTGAATACATACTAATTGTTGTATGGGAAAAAGTATATCCCAGGGCATCAACTATATTCATCATCTTCGGGGAACCACTGCGGCAATGGTATGGATGACTCAATCAAATCTTGGTTTGTGGGCTCAGCAGAGGGCGATGGTGTCACTTAAAACTTTTATCACCCGTCCCTTGGGATTCTACCTCGAAGGATATAGACGAGCATCTAATGCCAATCCTTTTTTCGACGCAGTGCTGGACACTCAAAAACGGCGAAAGACATTGCACATGTAATAGAGAATCTTAGGCTGAAGGGAGATATAAGGCACCAGCTTCTGATTTCATGCTCGTGTTGATTATTTTGCTCTCAGGAGCCTAGCAATGGGGTAATACTGCCACATAACTCTCTGCTCTAGTATCGAGGTTTCTGTTGGATGCTTAGACTTATATTGAGCTGCAATTTCCTGCCAAGTGACCTGTGTGGGCCTTGGATAGTATGTCGCCTAGGTTGGTCAGACTCTGGACGTCTGACAGGGTTAATGGATCCACCTACCAACTGGTCTTTTGACAGGGACCAGGACCTGTTGATTGTGAACAAAGTAGTCTACATGTTAAAATCCCTATTTGGACAAATTACGTATTGCCAACCTTTTGTAAAAGGGTAGGAGTGTCGTTGAAGTAGGAGTGCCGGCCATATGCGATGAAATACCCAAAAGTTAGCGCCCAGTTAGACAACCCGGCTCTCGTCAGCAATTTCGTATGAACTGAGCTTTCGTGTGGTTGTGTTTGTGAAATCATTGCGTGCTGCCCGGGGACAGTCTGCTTCGGCACCTGTTTAATTTCCTTCCCGATGTTATCTTCACTTCAGTGGAAGGACCACACTGCGAATAATGAACAATGAGGCTCGTGAGGTAGGACAAGGGCATCTCTGACACTTTCTAATGCATTTCTGTTCTGGTGACATCGCCAAGCTTGTTTGGTTTGTTTGACAGGGGACGGCACAGATGCGTGTATGATGACGTCGTGGCTTCTTCGGACCAGACTGTGTATGGTCAACTATCTGAAACAATGTGGTCATCCTGTTGACTATGGTAAACCCTTAATGATGCATACACCAAAATTAGCTCATCATCTTTTCCACTCGAAGAAACGAATAAGGCTCAGCCACTCATAAAGAGATACGCGAAATCGGCACTCTCCATCCGGCAAGGCTCCCTGTGCGCCTTCTCCTCGATGATACCCTCAATGAGTTGGCGCTTTCTATCCTGGAAGTCGAGGATCCGATCCTCCACCGTGTTCGAAACCAGGATGCGGTGAACGTGCACCGGCCGTCGCTGTCCGATGCGATGGACGCGCCCCACCGCTTGGTCCTCGACGTACGGGTTCCAGAGTGGGTCCAGGATGATCACTTGCGAGGCGGCCGTGAGGTTCAGCCCTGAGTTGCCGGCCTTCATGGAGACCAGGAGAATCAGACAGTCGGGGTTGGTCGCGAAGTGGACCGTCGCCGCGTGCCGGTCGGCCGGCTTCATGGTGCCGTCGTAGCGCTGGTACGCCCAGCCATGTCGGTCGAGGGGCACCTCGATCAGATCGAGCATGGAAGTGAATTGGCTGAAGATGACGACCTTCTCGCGCTCCCCACCGGGTTCCCCGCGGGCTACGATGTCGCGCACGATCTCCAACGCCCTATCGATCTTGGAGCTACTGATCCAGGTCTCCGCCAAAATTTGGTGATACTTCTGCTTCGCCGCGGGGCTGGTTAGCGCTCGCTGTCTCAGCCGCGTGAAGCTTCGCTTGGGCGCATGGATGGTCGGCGTCGGGTTGATATGGAACTGCACGGGAGGATAGGCGTGGTCGGCTCCTGCCGGCATTCCGAGCATGAGGTCTTGGCCGTCGTCGCGGTCATCCTCGACCCGGCCCCGGAGGTTCTCAAGGACCGTGGACAGGCTCTCCGTGCCGACATCGCCCGGCGGCGTGGGGTAGTGCTGTTTGGCAAATGCCGTGTGGTCGGTCGCCTTGCTTGGGTCAATGACCACCCGGCAGCTTGGACAACACATCGGCGGGTTTCCTTCGACCCTGGGGCGGGCCGTCGGAACCTGGGGGAAGATCCGGGCGAAGCATTTCACGCAGACACTATGACCGCAAGGAAAGAAAATGATGTGGTTGTCGACGGTGTCGTAGCAGATCGGACATTCAAACTCGCGTCCGTTCTCTCTTTCATTGTCCCGCAGCCGTTGGACCACCGCCGGAGAGAATCGCATGGCGTTTGCCGCCCGGTGTCCGTCATTCCCCGACGCATCCAGGGTGTCCGGGATGAAATCGGAGACCAGGAAGGGATGGCAGCAGGCTTGCCGCAGGCGCTGCAGCAGACCCAGCATATGGGACACGTTGCGACTAGGGTTGCCGCCGCTCAAATAGTGGTTAAACTGCAGCCGCGTGTGGCATTCCAGGGCGGTATACAGCTCGCGCTCCGGCTCGGTGAAGGTCACGTACACGATCTCCGTGGTTTTGACGGGCAGTTGCAGGATGGGCTGACC